TCTTGTGGAGAATACTTTAAACATAGTGCATCTCTTGATCGTCTTCTTGACTTTTGCTCTCAACCTCGTAATCCACCAGCTCTCTGTTACACTTTCTGTGGTACTAGAAATGCATTATCTAATTATGTACATGGACAATTAGCTTGCCAGCAAAAAGTCCCCCTGGAAGGTACGTTGGCTCGTACTTCTTGTTTCTCCCTTCACACTTGATGATGTCTGTCTGTTAATCTTCTACTAACTTCCACCCTCGAGATTGCAAACTCGCTTGGTCTGCATTCTGGACTCGCCTCACCCATCAGTTTTGTACCGCAGCTATTTCATCGGTTACCAATGGACCTGAGCTCCTCTTCAGCTTGTTTCTCCTCAAGTTACTGATTACCCTCGACGTCCAGGCTGTCATCTTCATGGTTCTCCAGGAAGCGCCCCTCTCCAAAAATGCATCCCATCATCTGGCTTTCGCTCTTGTATGTGAGGGTTCTCCTCTAGGATAGATTTGCACTCTTTAAGGCCGCTCTGGTGCCTTTTAACTCAGGTTTATTTAACCACTTTGTTCCATTCAACAACCAATCAGTGCTGGGGAACCAGTCCTCTCTCTCCATTTATTCAGTTTTTTCTCCTCTGATTGCAAAGTCAGTCAGATTCATGTCTGTTGGAAAGCACTTTCAGTTAACTTAGAGCTCACCAGTTGTTGCCTCGATCTTCTTCCCTCTGTTGACCACAAACACCTTCCAACGCTTTGCACTATTGCTCATCCGATATAAGGCAACCATGCTGTCCATAGTGAAGACTTGATGTGCCAACGCAGCAGTGCACCACGCTGGTTCTTTGCCATATTCGCTGCCATATGACCGCTGACAAGTTCCGGTCTTGGCATAGAAGTTTTCTTTCAAGATATTCGTGACTTCGAAGACAGAAGACCCTTAACTACAGCCTTTTGAACAAAGAGAAAAAGGCTTTCACTTGCAGGTTGTTTACAAGGAGTTTACATGTGATGGGGTGTAATCCAAGGTAGCTAAAAGCGAATCTGATTGGTAAAAAACGTTAAAGCATGTGAAAATTGTGTGGAAATTCACTAACAGTAGCATTTGGTTTCATGTGAATTTTTTTCAGTTGGGTTGTACTATGTCGTAAAATCTAGGTTGTTCACTTGAAAATGTTATTTAATCTGGGAAAGCACGGTTAATAGTGACAAGTAAACACGCAATTTAATCTTCTGTTGCACAGTACTTCAAGGACGTAAACGGAATTTTTCCCTATCGAAATCAAATGTATCGGTTTTCCCACTTTTCGGGGCGCCGCAGCTCGCCAAAGTGAAAGTGAATTCTAGAAACGTTTGCTGCTTGACCGCAATCATGGCTCCTAGGTTTGCAGATATCAATTCAGTCGAAGAATTTATAGAGGATTATGCAACGAAAACACAAAAAAGAAAATTCAACAAAATGTTGCTTCGCTTAATGTACATGGCAAGACTCAAAGAAGAAATTCCCAAAAAAATTTCAAAGCAGAGCCAATCATTTCGTAGTATCTGAACAACAGCAGAATTTCCCTTATTTTGAGTGGACTGACGACAGGGAGCTAAAAAAATACAATACCTTTCGAGTTGCAGAATGCTGGACTGAAATTCATTCACCTCGCTCAAAGGCAGATAATCAACACAGCTGTCGTTTTTTGAGGGCGCACTCATCGAGGGGCAGCTAAGCTCATTAACTAACAACCTGAGTCAAGCCTCGACGCTGCAAATCCTGCGAACTAAAGAGGAATCTTTCCTAAAACGGTAAAAAAGACTTAAATCTAACTCTTATTGGGAAGCATCTTGATCGTATTTGCGATTTGTGATACGTACGCGTTCAAAAAAATTGTTATTAAAAAATAAAGCTGATAATTAACTTTAGCTTCTTCTGAACTTTCAACGGCTTTCAAAATGGAAATTTCCAGTGCGTGCCATTTTTGTATCATTCTAAAAGAATAATTGTTTAACGTATGATAGAATAAAACTTTAGTGTTGATTCAGTTTGTTTGAAATAACGGCGTCCATCATGTATCTTGATGTGGTGTGTTGATTTCGCCAAACGATATTCATGATCAAATTTTTGCATTTTGTTTTATAACAAATTTCGGATGTAACTAGTGTTCTCATTGTTGAAAGGGCGTTTTTTATCAGAGTACAAAACACGAAGCTAAAGCTGTCACGCCATCTTCCAATTTGTACAATTTCCGACCATTCCCCGGATTCCTCTCTGTTTTTTTTTTTCGTTAATTGAACCACAAGTCTGACATGACTTGTAAAAGCAATATGAGAGCAAGCTCTTGGCCTCAATGGATACAGAAAAACCTGTAGGTAACAGAACAAATTTCATGGAGATAGGAAGCGAAATTTTGGAACAAGCTGACCAGCAATTAGCAAGAGAAGATAGGTTTTAAACATGCGAAATTACAACGTGAGCAGAGACAATAATCACCAAAATGGATAAAATGGACTGTCCGAGTTTTGAAGGAAGTAATGCAAGATAATTAAACGGATTCTTTATAAAAAAAAAAAAAATGAAGAAGTCTTGACTGTGCTCTGTTCTGTTGTAAGACTTTTAAAGCAGAAAGGAGGCAGCTAGAGCACTCAAAAAGTTGGGAGAAAAACTGTATTGCGTCTCGTGTTTTCCCCTATACTTCTTTCGTGCTCTAGCTGCTTCCTGTATACTTTACAACAAAACAGAGCACATATAGAAAAAAAAATTACTTCATGCTAAGTTTGCTTGTACCACATTATTCACTCGTTGCAAAGAATAAAACACACTCGCTCGTTCCTCCCTCGTTCGTTTTTTCTTCACAAATCGTGGGTATAAATCATCGACGCGAACTAACCATTAAGTAATTTATAAATGGCTAAGCCCCACCGACGCCAGCAAATTTAGTTTTCATTTCAGAGCCATAATTCGTACCGCGTTTAAGTATTCGGAAAGAACTTTATGCTTTTTTATTTATTTCTTTTTTTTTGTTTTTTTTTCTTTCATTTCAATAATTCTTGCTTAAAGGGTCTCTCTCCATTCATTTTATCACAGTTCTCAGCTATGTCAAAGAATTAGGTCTTTTTAGCTATGCGGTCACGTGGTTTGAAACGAGTAAGCAAAAGAATGCAAAATGACTGTTAGGTATATAACACAGGTGACACCTTATGGACGAAATTCCTTCCTCTCTTTTTAATAAAAAATTCATATTCACAGAAAGATCAGCAGCACTCAAAAGACTGCGGTTATATAGAAATCGGCGATAACCGAAATGGAATCATTAACTAAGATCATAAACAACCTCGAGCTGGATAAACAAACTTGTGAGCACATGATCTTTAAAGATCGCGAAAATACACGAAACGGGCACAAAAGGGAAGCAATTGTATCACACCAAGAAAGTTTTGACGATTTTGTGATTTCAAGTCAGAATGAAGTTATATTTTGTCGAAAACTATACAGTTTTTTTGTTTTGCGCTAATTAGTTCGCTCTTGATCGGCAGCCGGTCAAGATTCTCAAACGACTGAATAATCGGCAATCGGATATTTTTTTGAAAATTTAACAAATTTATAGAAGCTACACCATCCAAAGAATTACATGTTAATGAAGAACCGATAAGCAATCTCCAAGTAATTTTATCTCATGTCTTCAATTTCGAGCCCGGGTCATTTTGGCTCCTTGTCAGCGGTATTGTCGCCAAATAATGTCCTCTGGGATAATCAAATTTTTATCCCAGAAATCGCAGGATTCTGGTTTTAACTGTGCATGTCTACACTGTTTAGTTATTGCTTCCGGTTGACTTCTGCGCGTGCTCAAAATAGAGCACACGGTCCGCTACGCCAGCGGAAGAAGAAAAGAACGTAAATTACCTTTGTGCACGTGAACTAACATTAACAGCTGAAAACTGTTTGAAACACTATTTCATTTTGAAATAGCTTTTTACGGACCATAAAAACATGAATAGGTGCCATCCGCTTTCAATCTTCGAGTTCGTTTTTCTGCAAACTTGAAATCCTCGTCTTCGAAATGTTCAGACCACTTTGCTACCAAATATTACACTTAGGTCTTTATTTGATCTTATTTCATTCTAAAAGTCGATATCTGTTTTAAAATACACTAAAAAACCATAACGACATTCAAAAATCAAGATTAGACGAAATATTGCTTTTAACCATTTACTAATGCTATTTACTGTGTTTCTATTGTTCCGGTCAGACTCCTTCATGGAAACAACCTACAACTTATTCCTTATCGAGCCTTCTTTGCCATGGATGCCTTGAGGATAATGTAGGTACACTCTAATACACACACTTTTCGAATTATTTATTGTAAGAGACTGGTGCAATCGACTTTGTGTAATTTTTTTTTATTCCTTCGATTTTATGCCTTGACGCTTCTTTAGACGAAGCACATAGACAGGATCTGAGAATACAAGCTACATTCAATTGTAAATAGCCGGCCGTTGTGGCTCACTCACCTCTGATAATTGCACACAACTTACCACTTTGGCCAATTCCCAATATTTTTCACACTATTTTCATTAATTGGCGCATGAACAACTTAATCAACCGGTTTTTTTTTTAATATTTTGAAAATGTTCTATCAGGTAAGAGTGCCGTAATTTGAAGTGCACGATGATATAGCTACTATGACGGGAATGATACGACAAAGACGACGATATCAACGTTGGTGAATACAAATTAACTATGCTAATAGTGAGGATGATTATTATAATGCGGATAACATTGATGATAACTTCGATGACGACGAAGATAATGATGCTGACGATGATACTGATAACGACGATGACGACAATGATGACGTCAATACCGATGACATTTTATCTTTCTATCTTTTACTTACAGAACACTAACTGATAACCCAATAGAGACAATTGAGTCGGAGGCATTCAAGTTTTATGGACCTAGTATCGCAAATTTGTAAGGGATCTTATCTATTTACTCTCCGAGTAAAACCTTGACACCTCTCCTCTCTCAGAAATGGTACCCCCGAGTAAAGCTACCGGTAAAATGGTAAAGGATGTCGCATCTGTGGTTTTAAACACATTCTTTAATGTTTGAAAACATACGCAAGGGAGGGGGGACAGTCAACCTCTCACGGGAGATCTGCTAATACTGGAAGTCAGTGGAGCTATATATCAGAGAATTTACGGAGTCTGCAGCCGAACTCAGGTGATGTGCTGTTGTTCGTGTGGCGGAGGAAGCTATTAACAGTATACAAATCTGTGTTGCAGTGTATATTGTTCGACAATCTGTGCACCAATTATCGATCAAATCATTGAATCTACCCGAGCAACCTATTGGTATTTTGTTAGTGGAAGTGTTATTCATGGTCCAGGATCAGGTCCTATTCACCTGTGGAAGTTCCACTGCCAGGACAAGAAGACTTCACAGTTAATCGTTCTGAAACTCATGTACCGGAGATCTCGAACTGTGCCCTAGAAGAAAGACATTACTCACCTGAAAGGGAAATCACGCAATTCTCGGACTTAGAAACTCTGGGAATAAAGAATGACGAGCCAACAGTCTGTGAGAACTTCGTTGAAGTTATCATGGACAACTTTCAGTTGAGTAGGATGAGACTGGAATAATTGTTGCGACGGCTGAGGTCAAAACCAGAAGTCATCAAGCGCTATGATGACGTCATTCACGAGCAACTTCACACGGGCAAAATTTAGCCAGTGAGCATGGAGGAACAGCCAGAAGTAAGAAAGGTCCGCCATCTTCCCTACAGAGAAATTACCAGACTTGAAAAAGACACTGCAAAGCTTCGTGTAGTCTATGATGCATCTGATAAAAAATGTGGATTAATCCTCAATGATTAGGTTCGATGTATGCTGTGAAAAGCAGGCAAACTATATGAAATGTCATCTCTCATTGCGCTATATGCAAGGAGCTTGAAGGAAGACCGTACAGTACTCCGGATCTCCGCAGCCTCAGCTCCCAGATTTCACAGTTTCCGACGAACTAGTTTTCACTCAAGTTGGTGTCGATTTTGCTGGTCCAGTCTATTTTAGAAATATGTATTCTAACAAAAGCAGAGTCTTCAAAGCATTCATTGCAATATTTACCCGTGCATCTCCTCGGATGGTGCATCTCGAGCTCGGTCCCGACCGGTCAACAGAAACTCCTCTTGGGTGCCTACGGTGGTTCATTTCAGGAGGGGAGTTACCACCTATGATCTCCGATAGTGGGAAAACATTCAGAGGTTCAAGTTCAAAGGCTTTTCTTTTCTGGCATATTCCATAAGTTCAACGTCCCTTGCGCGGTTGGTACGCTCTGTGAAACGCTAGCTCAAGAAAAACCTTGGTAAACACGTGTCATTTACGAAGAATTTTTTTATTTCTCCGTAAGTGACACTTACGTTTGTAAGTACGTAGGTTAAAAGACGCTTATGGTTCAAGATAAAGGAATACTCGACCCTCCACCTGTCTTCTATCAATGAGGAACTTAGGGTTTCTTTCTGAACTTTTTGAACATAATTTGGGCAAGAAGACAACTCAATCTCTTGTGATTAAGCAAGGAGGCGTTTGTATCGTCTTCGATAACTCGGAGAAACACAAGAAGGCCAAACGAAACGACGAAAATAAGCCTAATATCACACTCGAACTGATTTTAATCAAAGATAAATCGAACACACTAAACAACTCATTTATATACACACGAAGTATTCTTATAACTCATTTAGCTCACACGAAATATCGTTACATCCTCCTTAACGAAAACATTTTGCAACCGTCGTCAAGTCATTTGGTCAGTTCATTAAGAGTCACATCTGCCCGGTCTCTTTTCCACTCGTCCACTTCTGGTGACAGTAACAGGGGCTGCTGATGCACTGCGAAAGACTTCAGCAGCAGGGGCTGAAACTTTGTTACTAGACTTTTCAGGTACTCGTGATCTTGGTTGTATAGCTTCCTAGCTAGGTCATTCTTGAAATGTCGACGGAGGCTCTGGATGTGGTGTCACTGTGGAACCTCAAAATAGGGCTTAGGGGAATCATTGAAAATCTCAACGGGGGGTACTGTCCGGAATAGCTCTCGAGACAACCTCAGATGTCTTCGGTTCCTGCTGTAGATGCGTCCATCCTTTGTTTGAACTTCCCATGACCTTATTCCAACCTTTTTCTCAACAGCTGCTTTAGCCCATCCAGCTGACATAGTAATCTCTCATTGGTTGGAAGCACGTTCACCGTTGCTCCACTGTCCAACTGAAACTGGCTATCATGCCCATTGGCAACCATCTTTGCAGACAACTTTCAACAACTTGAATTCACAATGTCTCGGAACTCTACGCTCACGGTCAAAAGGTATTCTTCAGAAGAGGAATCTCCCTGCATTACATTTACAGACTTTTCCTACTTTCTGTTCCTCAAAGGTTTGGATGGTTTTGTACACTGTTTTGCACACTTGACTGCAAAGTGACTTTCCTCGCCACACTTCTTGCAACTGTTTCCCTTAGCAGGACACTCCAGATTACTTCTCCCGTGTTTACTTCCATAGAAATTAGAAAGTATTACAGATCTAGATTTACCAGCCTTTGATGGGTTTTCTCCTCTGAGAATTTGCCAGTTTGCTTGCGATCTGCAACAAACTTGAGGTCCTCCTGTTTGCCCATCGCCTGTGGCTGAACTGAAGTTGCTTCGCTGGAAAGACAAATATCGATGCATTTGTTAAGTGTGAGTTTCGATTCTTGTAACAGCCGCTTACGTGTGCCATTGTCCTTTGTTCCGACTACAATTCTGTCGCGAATAAGACCATCCACGAATGAACCGTAATTACATGTTTCTGCCAAAATACGAAGTGCTGCAACATATGAATCAATCGAAATCTTGTCTGTTTCTCCAAAACAAAACGCGCCTTTATTTTTCGCAGTACCGCATCAATTTCCTTGCTTTCCTCTTCATTTTCCAAATTCAAACCATCGAAAATTTCGGACGCGTCCGCCCCCAAACACTTAAGTAACGAAGCATTCCTCTCCTCCTTTGGTTGCTTTATTGGAAGAGATGCAATTTCCTAATTAGACCATACGCGCCGAAAGCGTTTTCAATTCCATGCCAAGCTTCGCTTACTTTCGAGTTTCGAAGGGAACGATATATTCTGCAAAACAGCCGTGCTTACCTCAGCCAACCCTCCCTCGCCGCCCAGCATACTCCTCCACGTGGAACTTCGGACAACCAATTCGAAGAATAAATGAACACGCACCGACCAGCAGGCTACTAATACGCAGGTCACAACTATTCCTGACACCATGGAGAAACACCAAAGATGACTCGAACACACTAAAAACTCATTTATATATACACAAAATATCTTTATACCTCATTTAGCTTATACAAAATATCGTAACAGCGTTGATAATGCGCCTCGAAAAAATGGAAGTCGGGTACAGTTCAAGAATTGATCCATGGAAGAGATCACCTCGTCCGTGCAGCCATTGTTGGGTTGATTTCTAAAGGAGAGGAGACTGAAATCAAACGTCCAGTACTGAGGCTTTATCCAGTCGAAGTTTCAAATGAGCAACACGATGGGGGGTCACAAGGAAGTTGCGGGTTCCGCTCAGTCAGCCGTCAGATTTGTTCCCGACGATCAAGTTGAAATCGTTTGTTCTCAGCGAATTATGTCATTAAAAATTGAACTTTGTCATTCATGGGTTTATCCAGAGGTATTTAATTGACTAGGTAAATCAAAGGGGTGGGGTAGTGTGTTATAATAGGATTTTGGACGCAATTTGTTCTCTTCTTTCATCGTATCATGTGAATTCTCAGATTGTAATCTCGCAATTTACACCTGTTTCTTGTATCTGTCGTCCAGAATAAAGTCTAAATACAGCTCGAAAAAAGTGTTAACTCTCTATCGCACAGAAGAATAAGTTTTGGAAGTTCTAGGAATATTCTAACTTCTGACAGCAATAACACATGAAATTAAAGAGGTGGAAGAAGAGCGAAATCGTGATAAAAATGGCATGTCTTACAGCCAACTGGTAACTATTGTGCAAAGAGCCCTTAGCTGTTATGAAAGTTACCAGATGTTCATGTTGGGGTCGTTTGTCTATTGCTCACTCACTCTTAGGGGTCATGGCCCTCTTCTCTTTTCGTTTGATCCTCCAGTACTTCCTGTCGTTCCTTATTGACTTAATACCTTCATTGAAATTAACACTATACATTAAGGTTGACCCAAATGATTTGGTAGGTGACATGTACATTTTCCCTTGGGGGCAAATTGATTATTTTTTTCATCACGCCTATGAGTCTTAAAGCACACGTAGCTTTCCCTTAGAATTTTCAGGACCTATCGACCAGCTCTCACCAATTTTTTTTTAGCTAAAAAAGATTACGTTGGGAATGAAAAGCATGTTTAGCTACAATTTTCTTGAAAAAATGCGTCGTCATAATGGCCCCTTTTGTACGATCTAAGGTTCTAAAATTTGTTTCCACCAACCTACTCATCTTTTTCGTTGTGTTGTTGCAGATTTCTTCTCCGAACGAATTTGAAAACATTCCTCTCTGCCTCCCTCGCGAATTTCAGGGCTACCAATTTTGAGCTGTAAAGTATCCAATTAATTCATGTATCAGCCGTGATGAACCCATACTTTAAGATGTCGGCCGGTTAGAACTAATAAACCACTTAAAATCAATATGTCATTCAAAGTGATTTTCAAGCACAGTCATCCTCCAAATGTCTTTTGTGAATTAACCCGAAATGTAACAGGGGTGATCATATTGTTAATCTACCTTCTGTTGCATATCTGTTTTAGTAATTTGTGGCAAAGAACTCCTCGGATTGTAACTTACCACCGTGAAAACAGGATCGTCCTGAAAGTACATCTGTTAGTATTTCCCTTTTTCGATCATAAAAATGAGGCTAAAAAGCATTTGTACGAGAAATCAATATGTCCAGTGCTTTCAATGAATTTTTTGAGAGCGTTTCATTTAAAACGCGACCGCTTAAATATAGCGTGGCTCAAAAAAAAATTCACTAGTGATACGTTTTGTAAATTGAAAGTCAAAGGTGCGTGCATTATGTGGATGAAAGGTTTTTGAAATATTCTGGAGAATGTTTTTTTTCTCCCAGCAATTGCTTATCAAGTTATGTTTGTGATGTGTAGTTAAATAACCTTGACGTTAAAATCCTTGGATTCTACATTAAAGTGAATAAAACTATCGACTTGGTGAGTCATGAAAGCAAAAGTTATCTGATCACTCTGACCACTCTTTAGTGATTCAACTGTTCCTTAATTATGCAGTAGGAAGGGGTGCACGTAAGGGCTCCTTATGCACTCGCATCTCTCGATCGCATTGTTTTCTTAGCGGTTTTGGACTAATTAACTTTGATGGTCAATTTCATTCCAAGGAATCCCTTGGACTCAAACCGAGAAGTTATTAAGTTTTCCGATAAAGATGATGAAGTCCTGGGGGTTGCTTTGCTACGCATGGGTTACACAAGAACTTTCAGTTACCCTGACTATATATATCGAACGTGTCCTCTGGGAACGTTCTCGGAAGGAAATGGGAAGTGCATGGAATGTCCTCCAGGTTTGTTATCTTGTGCCTCTTTGTTATTCAGTGATGAATTTACAAAATAGCTCTTTAAGATCAATCCCTATCCTTAGGAAACTTTGTTACAATAGCAGGAAAGATTATTGTTAGAATAATACGTAGTAAGCACAGAATCATTGGGGACAAAATACCTCATGTCATTGAGGAAAAGATGGAATTGCCCAATTATATCCTCAACCGGTCAAGTGTTTAAAATGAGTTTTTGTTTTACCTGAGATTTAAAATAACCTTTTCTTGGCCGAGGTGGTAAAAGGTTAGGGTGGTAAAAAATTCCTTTACAGTTTGATTTTCAATAGCCTTAGTGTTTAACCAGTACTTTGAACACTGGTCTATAAATCTTGCAAGACGCACATATAACCCTAAGTAGCCTTCCGCTACACTTTATACAAATGATAGTGTAACGAACACAATGGAAGCCTAAATGAATCACGTGGAAACTAGCCGCTCCTACGTTGTCACACGAACACATCAAAGATTAAGAAATTCACCTCCACAAATCACATTAACTAATACGTGACTTTGCCAAATTTTACAACATTCGTTGATCACATAAAGAATCTTTGATTGTTGGGTGGGGCATTTGAACACAATCTTGGCCCGAGGGATGGGAATTTGAACGAGCCAATCTCCTAAATGTCAAATGCCCTATGAATTGCCCGGGAGGGGGATTTTGAAGCTTCGAATTTATCGACGCATTACCTTGCATTCCCTCAGCCGTCCCTTACCTTACAACTTATTTCGTTTTTTACCAGGCAGTTTCTACGTTGATTCTCGTGGCTACGTTGCAGAAAGCTGTAAAAAATGTCCAAACGGATCTTATGTCCCATTCGACAAAAAACCTGGAAAATCAATTCTAGACTGCAAGGCGTGCCCAATAGGTAAGTAATTAACACGACCACATGATGTGTTTAATCTCAATATTTACTGTTTACTAAAATTTGTATGCAAAGAGTCGTTTCAAAAGTAGCGCTTGAAAAAATTTAAAAAACCTATGAAGCGGCTGAAGACTACTTTGAGAAAACAAATATCATTTTGGGTATGATATCCATATACACCGCGCTTTTGCGCATAGATTTTGGGTTGTTACGGAAGGGGGAACTCCGGGTGCTTCCCTATAACTTCAACCTTCGTAACGTTACGATCACCAAATTCACCTACAGTGGAGGAACGAATGAATAAATTGTATTTATCCTCATAAATGATTTCAATTTACAGTTAGTTTTAAAACTAGCTGTGTATTTAATTCACCTTATTTTCATCACACTAAACAAAAGGTAACTACTAAGCAAGTACCGAAACCTATTTTTTACCCTTGCCGGGGAACTTGCTTTAAATCAGAATAGCAATATAAAAATTTTCCGCGTTAAGCGTACCATGGTAGAGTTTTTCATTGAACATTTTTCTTTTTTATGATGTCAGCTGCGAAACTGGATCTCGAATTTTGAATAACTGAATGTGTTTCCTGTGCATTAAGTCTACGGTAACACATCTTTTCAGTGTATTGAATGCGTCTATGAGTAATTTTGTAAAAGGGAAACTAATTTGCCCGAAATAAACATCAGCGATAAGCGGAAATAGTAGTCATTTGAATAAAAATCTTCAAATCTTGCATCATACCCAGACGAAACCTAAAAGAAGGGTATGAAGGGGAAAATTCAAAATATTGGCAAAAATCCCTTCGCAATTTCGGTTATCAGGGAACGATATCATTATCGTGCATGCCTCAACGGCTTAATATGTCCACGAAAAGATTTTGAAAGGAGTCCTCAAGTTTCGATATCAAAGCCTAAATTGTAAGTCTTGAGTATGCCTCGTATTCCCTCTGTTGAGAAAATAATAGATTTAAAACTTGCCGAACGTGCAGAGGGCAAGAGAGAAAATGAGAAGCCTTTATTATTCATTCTCTTTTCAAGTTTAGAGAAGGAGGAGACATTCTTCGTGTGAAAACAAAATCATTTAGCAGGGAATCAAGCGCCTGTATAACACTTTTTTTTCAGGAAGAAATTTGAATCAGAAATATAATCTCAACAACACTGACAGTTTTCTCAATTTTAACAGGAACGGAAAGTGACTTTGTTGCTGGATATCGAGCATGTCCATGTTTGGAAGGATTTTACCGAACCCATCGATTCGCTAAATGTCTCAGATGCAAAGTAGGACTGATATGCCAAGATGACTATGCCTCATTGAAATCTGGATATTGGTGGCGGTGGCGTAACGATTCATACAAACATCGCTACTAGGATTTCATACAAAATCTTTTGGCGACTTCTCCAGTACTGGACAATTCTTCCATACAATACCCTTATTCGATGCCGACACCTTACAGGTGCCAGGTAGAGAAATCTTGCAAAGGTGGCTTGGATTCACCATGTGCAAAAGGTTACGAAGGTCCAATTTGTGCCGTTTGTAGCTCAGGATATCATTAGCAACTGGAGTTCTGTGAAAAATGTCCCTCGAAGGTTTGGATTGTGGCACAGCTTTCAATTGTTCTCGTCATTCTATCCCTACTATTCGCAATTTTGATGTGGAAGAGAAAAACAAAATTGGTAAAGGACGAAGGTCACTATCTGATAGACATGTTTTTTTCCAAGCTCAAAATACTAGTTGGCTTTTATCAGGTCACGCATGGCTTACTAGATGTGTTCTCGTACATCGAATGGCCAGATTCTCTGCAAGCTGTCCCCACGTACTCTGGAATACTTCAGTTGAATTTCTTTCAGATCGCACGTGTTCACTGTCTATTTTTAGGGTTGCACGTGAATGCCTTTGGAGAATTGCTCCTGATATTAACTTTGAATTTGAGTGTCATTGGCGCCTCTGGTGTATGTTACCTTATATATAAGACGGTAATCTTGAAGAGTCATAACCTTGAAGAAGACGAAAAGTCCAGGAAAATCAATCAAACAAAACAGTTGGTTTACAGAAATCTGTTTTTCTTCTTGTATGTAACGTATCTGAGTACATTTTCCAAAACAGCCAGCGTTCTACCTTTTGCTTGCCGCAAACTCTGCCGAGATGAAAAGGATGAGATGTGCGAGGAATACGCTAAAGCAGATTACAGCATAAAATGCCAAGGATCCTTATATAACCATTGGCTGATCCTGGCATACATTTCGACCGCATACGTCTTTGCCCTGCCTGCCGCTTCAGTTATCGTACTTTGGAGGCAACGGAGAATGTTATTTTCTTCGACAGACAGTAATAAAGACACTGGCACAGGGGTCGTTGGAGGTTTGAGATTCCTCTTTGAAAACTACAAACCCACTTTCTGGTACTGGGAACTGGTTGAGATGTCTCGCAAAGCTGTTCTAACATCTGGTCTTATTCTTGTGGGAGAAGAGACCAGGTCTTACATCGGTTTGGCATGGGTCGTTGCCGGTATGTATGGAGTACTTTTCTCTTAGAATAAACCCATAAAAGTCGCTTCGGAAAACAGGTTGATGTCGACGTCCCTTGCTGTTACTATTTTGAACTTGGGTATTGGCGCCGTGAGCAGAATCCCCGCAGAGAATATATCAGATGAGGTGGATAAACACAAAGACGAAATGGCGATGAAAATACTCATACTGGCTGCAAATACTTTGGTAATTGGCCTGCTTGTCGGTAAGGATGGCTAAGACGAACAACATGTTTGTGACAATACATGTGCAAACGTTAGTTAATTCTTTGCCGTGAAACACGTGACAAAATAACAGAATACTGACCGACGGTTAAGGTGATGCATATTGTAATACACAGCGATCTACACGTTCAAGCGGTTACTGAACAGACATTTAATCTCTATGAAGTGCCTTCAAGGTACAAACGAAACTGAATATATAATGAGTCTAGCAGCACGTGCAAATGAAATTCAACACAGGGCGTGAAAATTACAATATTATAACACATATCGTTGTGACATTTGTTGCAACACTCCAAAATACAAGCCAGTTAACCCCAAAAGAGAGCCAAAGTGATCTAGCATATAGCTCTAGTGATTTCTCGGAGGAGCAAACAAATTTATATCCATGTTGAAATCGCCTGTGGTCCTTGCAATCTGATTGGCTCTCACCGGTGTGATTTATTCTTAAATCGTGCTATTTTATGCTCTAAACCGCATTTTTTTCCCTTGCCATTGAGACAGCTTTACCAAAACACAACAACCAATCAAATTTGTTTAAAGAAATTAATCAAATTGCAGGAAAACGAGAGACAAATTTTGCATCTGTTTTGAGACCAGCTCAATATACCGAATCAATATAACATTTGTACAGACTAACACAAGTTGTATTGAGTGAAACCGAAGCCCCTAAATAAAATTCTCCAGGAGTTTTATAAAAAAGTTCGTAGGAAAGACGGGGAAGATTAAGAGCGTGATAGATTTCGTGTAATGGTTGCGGCTGTCGATTGATGCCTAACAGAGAAAGAATACAAACGCTAAACTATTCTTTAGAGAGGTTTTAAAAGTTTGAAGAAAGTTCTTGAGGGAAAAGCCCAAAAACTCCGTTAACAAGGCAGAGGCAGGCTGCCGAACTGGTGAGCCATGACATGAAATAAGAAAAAGTAAATAGGAAAACATAGTCATATTTTTGCTTGTATATCAATAACTAATAATCATATGATTTTTTCGTGCAATTTAAGATAAATCAGCACTTGCAAATCTTTCAAAGACTAAAAATTGCAAAATTTGCACAATTAAAAATTTTATTAACCTTTGAAAAATTTACTCGTGCTGATTCATCCTAAACTGCAAGAGAAATATATTATGACTACTTATACAGATTGTACGCCACTCACTTTTGGTACCATAATTAATGCTCTGAACACCTGGGTGAGAGCGTTTCAAGCCGGGTTGGGAATGAATAGATTAGGAAGCGTGTCTGATGCTAAAAACATCCGAATATAAATGATACACTAAAACGAGTGAAGCGACAAAAATTGATGTTTTCATACCGGAGGAGATATTAAGAGAAGCCTTATTCGTTCGTGGATACTGATTTGAGTGTAATTTTTGGTTTCCTTTGCCTGACGACTTCGACGGAAGTAGCCTTTCGGGTTGTGGACAAACATTGAAGCCACGCTGAGTTTTGTATAAAAGTTTGTCGCATTTATCGTTTTTAAATACAATACTATCACAATTCTGTTCTTATTTTTTCTTTTTTGTTATTGCCCCCGCAGGGTTTTTGGCCCCAGAGGGCCAAAAACCCGAGGAGGCACCTTAGGACTCCCCGCGTAATATAGAGGAAGACTGGAGAAGAGAGAATGTGGGTATTTTCGGTAGATCATAACCAGAAAAAATCTCGATTTGATCGCTTGCACGGCCGCAAGGTATCAACGTTTTTCCCGCAAATGGTCATGGGCGGCCAGCAAAAAGACACGCGCGCGAGGACTTTTAGGATCGGCGTCTTTGCCCTCTTAAGGTATAATGTTGTGTCTAATAACGAGTCTATTATGTGCAAAATGTCAGGTTTAAATATAATAATAAACTGTTCTTCAATGCTGTTTATGAATTGTTCTACAATGCCACGTATAACATTCCAATATTAAAATTGACCCAAGTCCCTACATTCTGCTTCTTCTTGATCGTGAAGAACAAACAAATCCAAAGTTAAACCACACAGCAAAAGAAAAAAACATTCCAAGCACTTCCCAAAGCTACATTTTGTACACTTTTAGTATTTTGAGATCCAAAATTTCTAAAACCAAAGAACTGAGCCGCAATTCCCTAACAACATAACAGAAAAATTACGCAACTGTAAACAACAAGCCCAACTAAAAAAAACAAACAAACAAAAGAAAATGGTACTGTAGGGCGGGGGCAGCTCTAGTGAGAACTATAACTAGTTGATATGAGGTCTTTAGAGAAGCAAGAGAATCGACCGTTTGCCTTACCGCGCATTAAAAAACGGAAATAATTGTTTGGCGTGTTTGCTCGCTTAAGTTCAGACCTATTTATACTTATCATTCAAGAAATGAGGTAACCAATGTTTTTATTCTTGAGGGCGCTTCTGGTAATCCCTAACTCTTAGCCAGCATTACGTCGCCGGCTTTTTCTCTAGGGTATCCTTAACAGCAAGGGGACCCACTTCCCAAGCCAAGGCTTAAAACATGATTTAAAGTGATTACTCACGTAACATTGCTCAGCAGCTTACATTAAATAAGGCATTCGTTATGCTGTGTCCTATCCTGGAAAGCGATAAAAGTATCGTAACCATAACGTTACTTGCTATTTAACGTTTATCAATTTTTCGCAAAATTTTATTGATAGTCTACCGCCTATAACGTCTATAAAGTAGAACTTTACGAAATTTTAAATCTACACTCTTTAAACTTTCATAAAGAAATCTCATAGAAATCTCCTTATATGTAATTATCCAGATTTTAGCTTTGAATGGTTCAGGTTTGCATCGCTATTAGATGGCTTACTCATTAGTTATTACTTTTTACTCATTATCAGTGAGCGCACTGATATAAATTGGAGAAACGTGCTACATTTCAAATTGAAGGGGCAAATACATTAAAAATAGATGAAAAGAAATAATAGCAAGGCTTCTTTTGATTATTGCCTTCGACGGAAAATGTTTGCTTTATCCAAAAAAAAAAATTAAACAAATAACAATTTTGAATTTTATCTCTGCCTCAGGTCAGTACGTGATGTTTTTATACGAATATTTGAAGGAATGGCACAAAAACCCACAATGCTCCTCTTCATGCTGTCTGGCTTTGCTCCTTCCTCTGAACGACTTGCAAGGAGAAATTCGAGGAATGGTTGGCAAAAACTTGATGAAAACTCAGCTTGACGCAGGTATGTTGGCGAAACCGTCCATTGCTGCCACTGCAAAGGACAGTGGAGCTATGAGCTTTACTCTTTGTGGTGAAGACGTCGAACACGAAAAGGAAGACAAACGAAAAGATGAAGTTGTCAAAGACAGCAACAGAAAACGTCATCGCTGGACACAGACAGAAGTTGTAATGCCACCTTTTGCTTCAACCGTGGAATCTGGATCAATGAGAGGGCAGCAGCGAATAAACAGGTGAGTGTGATAAGTACTTTCAGTATTTTTATCAAAGATACAGAAAACCTTGTGTGCAGCATTTAAACAACCTTTTGCGAATATAATGAGCCATCGTCCGGGTGAGTGTAGTCCTGAGAAGGACTGTTGTCGGTAGTGGTGACTGACGTTTCGACAACCAGAGCGGAAGTCATCTTCAGAGTCAAGTGAATAGTTGTTGTCAATCGAATGTTCTTAGTCCGGTAAGTATAAAGTATCAATCAGTATAAATCAGTATATATATTAAATCTGGTACCAATCAGTATAAACTGATTGGTCAGTTTTGCCGTGATGTTATTGGCTGTAAGACTCAAGTGGACTATCAAATTATCAGAACGCTGAAGTTTCTGATGGAAAAATAACCGTACCTTCTATCTCTTTTCTATGTTCCGTTGATAGGTAAATATGCTCTTTTTCTTCCATACCAAAATCCAGACTTTCCATTCTCAGCACATTACATATTTAATCACTTAGCTGTGACTTTCTCCGTTTTGTGATAATTATTGTCGATTTTCTTTGTCTTATAGCCTTAGCTTTTCTTACTGTCATCTCAAAGTCAGGTTTTGTAATCCTTTGGTTATTTTCAATCATTTTTTAGTTCTGTTTCTTAAAATGGTGGAAAAAGGAGTGAAAATACATGACCAAATCGCATTTGTAAAGGAATAGCAGCGCAAAGAGCGAAACAAAATCCATCTTGATTTGACACAATGCCCATTTCGCCAGAGCTACTTACCTGGCTTGAAGCCAAGAGTCCATCCGTGTGCGGGCGAGAAAGCAGAATTTAAAATTTTTCCTGCATTGCAATTACGCAAATGATTTCTAGTAGTGACAAACTCGTCAACGTGTTTCTTTTAATGTTGTCTTTTTGCAAGCAGTATGAAACAGAATGACTGAGTAAAACCTATACTAAAATTCCAGGAGGATTCAGCTCCTCCAAAAATTGTACTATCGATACCTTTTTTTTCTAGACTTCAGCCTTTAATGCATGAGATGCATACCTCTGGAGAAAACTGTGATGCATCAGAAATACTGAAGACATTCATAAAGAATGAAGCAGAGGGTAATACACCAGAGAAGCAGAAGGAAGGCTTAAAGATTGTACCTGAGGGCAATATACCACCAAAGCAAAATGAAGGCATGAAGATTGAAGCAGAGTGGAATGCACAAGCAAAGCAGAAGGAAGGCATGAAGATTTTAGTAGAGTGCAACGCACCAACAAGGCAGAAGGAACGCATGGAAATTGCATCAGAGTGCAATGCATCGGCAAAGCAGAAAGCATTCATGAAGAGAGAAGTAGAGAGTACTGTATTGGCAAATCAAGCGGAAGACATGAAAATTGCACCAGAGTGCAATGCACCAACAAAGCAGAGGAAAGGCGTGAAGATTATGGAAGAGGGTAATAGAGTGGCAAAGCTGAAGGCATTGATAAAAAGTGAAGCAGAAGGTAATGCACCGGCAAATCAAAAAGAAGACATGAAGATTGTAGCAGAGTGCAAGCCACCAGCAAAGCAAAAGGAAGATATGGAGATTGGAGCAGTTTGCAATGCACCAGCAAAGCAGGAGGAAGGCATGAAGAATGAGACAGGGGGCAATGCACTAGCAAAGCAGAAGGAAGGCATTAAGATTGTGGCAGAGGGTAATGCATTAGCAAAGCAGAAGGAAGGCATGAAGAATGAAACAGAGGGCAGTACACGGGCAAACCAAAAGGAAAGCATGAAGATTGTAGCGAAGGGTAATACAGTCCGAAGGCAGAAGGCATTCATGAAAAATGAAACAGAGAGCAATCCACCTGAAAAGCCAAAGACATAACTGAAATTAAAACCCGAGGCCATAAACTTTTAATCAATCAGTGGAATGTTTGCTATCGCATAAAGTGCTAAACCATACATTTAAAAACAAGTGTAGCGAAATTATTGTATCCCTCATTCAGATAGGTTTTAGTTAATGTAGAAGAGATATGTTTTATAGAAGGGGCTTTGTTTATAAACAAAAGAATCCCTTAGACTATGTATTTGTATCAAGCATAGGTGCCGTGATATATTTCAGTATCTAAATTCCATTTCTTTACTTTTATCGCCTTTAAAATCCTATACTCGATATCGTTAGCTTGTGTACTATTGTGAAGCTAATATGTAATTGTAAGCGAGTAAAACCATCGTCAAGTCAGTTACTCTTTTTTTGCAATAGCTTGGAGGATGGATTTTTTTCAACTTACGTGGAGTGTAATAAACATTTGTAATCACTAGATGGCTGCTTAGCAGGTACAAACCGCAGGAAAAATACAACAACAATGACGAAAACAAAAGATCTAAACAAAGAAAGCAATAAGTGATATTTTGGGCTACCCGATCCAAACAAATAATGGCATCTGATTCACCAGGTGACCATCAGAATTACCTTGGGCCTGACAACGGTGAGATGAATGCACCTAGTGCTCCAGCTGGTAATTTATTCATAACAGTTGAATGATATGTCAAGATATCTTAAATTCCTTGCCGTCCTTATAAAGTCCGAAAAGTCCTCGGCGGTAGCGTTCGCATCGACCCGGAATTTGTACTGAGATAATCTTATTGAAAAACTAACGGAACAATACAACCCAATATGCTTGTTACATGATGCGATACATATACCACTTTCAATTTAAGGAATTAATTTAGAATAACGACGTATGCATGTTATTTTATAGTAAGTGGATATTTATATGCAAAGCTCTCAGAGAATCGACATTTATCGGAACTCAACGGCACGCTTTGTTACCATCATGAAGAATGGTGATTTACTATTCAGATGTTCTGTAACTGTAAAGCGTTCAAGAGTCAACGTAAATACTTTACCTTACCAGTTATAAAAATTAGAATTAGAGAGCACCTGAATATCTAATGAATCTTGCTATATGTATTAAAGCTGTTGCACGTCGATAACTATGTTTACAGTTTTGTTAGGTTATTTTTACCAGCTTTTAATGTGAAAGTAAATACGAGGTTCTCGGAGGAAAAGCCGATATAAGTATAAAGTCCCCACTGTAGAGAAACGTGTTTTTAATTCATATTTAAAATTGCAAATTACACGAGCATTTAGATTTCCAAACCACTGGGCAATGAGGCAAACAAAAATGGAACAAGACAACGGCAGCGGAAGCAATCGGTTTTACAAACTTTAACGCAAAAATACATCACAAAAGTGAACTTGTCTCACGTTTCAAAAACGGGAACAGATGTCGCCAAAGGGAATATCAGAGTGGTACAAAAACAATCAAGTTCTTTGATAAAATAAATAAAAAAATGTTTCATAAGGGAATTTGTTGCCCTGCCATTTGTAGCCAGCTGTGGTCCGGGTTCGATTCCCGGACCTGTCCCATGTGGGTCGAGTCTGTAGTTGCTTCTCGTCCTCACTCCGTGGATTTTTATTCAGGTTCTCCGGTTTTCCTCCCCCTTCAAAAACCAGCATTCCAAATTCCTTTTATGATCAAACAAGAGGTCGTAATTTATCATATCTTGGATCAATCTCTTCGTTATATATTGTTTCCCCGACGATATGTGAAGCTCTACGCTTGGCTATAATTATCATTAATAGTGCTAATAGTGTACAAAGTTATGATAGAAACTCTTCTTTTCAGCGTCACGAGTAAATACATTGATTAATTGATTCTTTAGTTCATTTAATACGATTCAGGCGTACTTTTGTTCGAGTATTCGTTCAATTCATTCGTTCTGCGTTATGCTGAGTTACTCGTTAATTCTTGGCAACTTTTCCTTCGTTGATTCCTACGCTCTAAAAGTTCGTTGTTTTCTGATGTTTCTATTGATCTTTCATTCGTTTGCCAGTCTATTCTCTCTTTCCCTTGTTTAGTGTTTTATTAGTCACTAGTTGTTCCCTTGAATCATTCATAGGTTTGCTGGCCTGTTCCTCAACTTCAATATCTCCTCAAAGTTCACACTGGTTATCAACAGCAGAAGGGTACTGCTACATATGATTTTCGGCAACATGATCACTAAATAAACTAAATCAAAACTGCCGAAAATGTTGTTAAATATATTACAATTAAGGTCATCCTCTTTCTGGAATTGCTCAGACAGACGAAATGAATCCTACTTTGAGCTGATATCTTACTAATAGTTGTGCAACCGACTCTAAGTCGCGTTATGAAATATTCGGCGCAATGGGATTTTCCTGTTAAAATGATTGTCCCTTTGATATTAGGATTAAGGTCTAATAATAAAGATTGTTATCGCTTTAACACCAAGTGCAATGTGATATATTACTGATTTGAAAACTCAAAAGATACTGATAATTCTGCTAAAGTTTGTTTATCCTTGGAGATATTTTTCATGTTGATGAAGTGAAAAACAGACAACAAACATATCACGATCAAAATTATCCTCTTTCAAAAATATAAGAAAAGCGTGCTTGGGTAAAATAAACAGAAGCTTTTAAGGTCTTTTGTTTTAAGTTTTTGTTTTATTTTTGTCACCAAAATAGTTTTCAAAACGGTTGCCCAGAGGTAAATCGTCAAAAAAGATGTTCAATCGATTTCATAGCCAGTGTCCAAAAACTTTTGTTTACTCGTAGTCGTCCTTTTTTGGTTTTTTGTTTTTGTTTTTGTCTATACGTTTGTTTTCGTGTTCATTAGCCCAGTCATTCTCTTGTTCAGTTCTTTCGTTTTTCCTTCGCTCACTCGTTTCCAGTATGTGATCCTTCAGTGCGGAGAGGAGCAGGGGTTTAATTTCCAAAGGGTGACTAACAATCGAGCTAACTTGCCTCTCGAATTAAATTCCTGCTCAAAACTTATCATTTCCTTTTCACTCCGAAAGGGTATTACCAATACAATTTTTAACAATTATTACCAACTTAGCCAACAAAATCTATCTTCTATATAGAATGGCCTTCTTATATTTTCTCAATTGCGGTCTCACCGACTTACAGGCGCGTTCTTAATTTTCACGATGAGATTTTCCAGATAAAAGAGATTCCCCACGATATTAAGATCAAAGCAAAACAATTAGCGGTTCAAGATCCTTTGTATTATAGTGAAGTGCAAAGTTGCAGATATCATATATTTAAAATTACGGTTAACCTCGAAGTTTCGATGTCAGCAACAAACAACTCTCCACGTCATGGCATTGCACTGCTCACGGAAAACAAACAACAAATCACGATGGATCGGGAGTTGGATTATCTTCCTACAACTTTTACAAGTAACAGAGATTCAGAAACAGATGCATTGCTCGGATAAAGTAAATACAAAATGATTGAATTTAAAAATAACAGAATTCACACTGTGCTTTGTATTTGTATTTTCCTCTACCATAACCGGATTTACCAAGAGAGAGTTACATATGCAACACATCACATTCACTGGATTGGTAACATTGAAAAACACTCATTCTCTCCAAAAGTTAGTGATTACTTTAATTGAGAGAGACTGTAAATACTGAACAAGGATGAGATAATAATGATTTAATGCTTTAAAATCAAGTAATTATTCTCTCTTTCAACTGCTGTCGGCTTAAATATATTGGTAGATGTTTATAAAAAAAAAAGATCTAAACGCTATTTCCGATTATTTACATTTTTTTTACACTGCTTATAAAAGCACATAATGTCCTTTCAATGTCGTATTTCAAGCTTCATGAAAATATACGCTTTCTTTGTATCACTTAGGAGTACTTGAGAAGCATCACCATTTCGACCGATTCAGACAGTTATTTCATTCACACTATTTACAACGAAAACAGCTGTTATCAATTTAATTCGTCTGGAAGATTTTCAGTTTTTAAATATTAACTTTTTTATAATCTCATACCACAATTTTATGGACCTTGTCTATGCGGTGAAGATCTTTAAGCAATCACAAGAGACTAGAAAATAGGTCACGGAGCAAGGAAAACTCGGTCTGTTGTCCGTCACAGAAATACAATAACGATGTTTGAAGTATTTTGGGGTTGACTGGCTACTTCAGGAGTATGTTTTCTAACATTGCTAACAAAGTGGAATAATAGATGATTTGGCGACGTGGAATATCTTCTGAGATATTCTAAGTACCAAAATTTTGGCTCTTATAACTTCTCAATCCTTATAATGGAAAACCTTGTAACATCAGCTCCCTTGTAATGGTCACGCAATGCCGGGGAGAGAAGGGATTGCGTGACCAGACCAAGGGAAGTGACAAACTATTTTTACATTATCAAACATGAATTTGTCATTTTTCTGGTATATGACACCAAGTTTCCCCAAGTAAATAACCATCTTGCTTTTCTTTTCATACACGCAGACAATGAGATATGGCGATGTAAAATCGAGTTTTTATGAAACGACGCAAGATCGTGGTAGGACTCCTCCTCTGATCATTTAAACTGCATGAGACTCCGTGTAATTGAGAATCTAGAGTAAATGTGTAGTTTGGTTCTCTTAAGACTTAAAAAACGCTTGAAGACATTGTTTTTTTAAAAAACAGGATAATCCTGTTACGCCCAATGAATCATTTTTCTGCAGTACATATCCTACATTTGCTTCCACCCTTAGAGTTTTCGATATTGCTTCTCGCCGCCCATGCGGAAATATTCTAATCGCTCTTTCTGTAAAGCCAACATTTATGATGCGTGGTAATTTTCGGGAAAATATTCACCCCATGATTCGATTCCCCCAAATTACAACAATACTCGTTGAGTTAAAACAGCATCTATTTTTTTAAATTTGTTAACAACATGAAATTTCGGCCGAGTGTTGCTTGCCAACTATCATAATCGCAAATCTGCAATATCTGAAAGAATCTTTTGAGCAATTACGTATACGTAAACAGCTCTCTAAACGTTCTCAATTGATATCAAGAAATATTATTTCTATTTGAGCTGAATTAGCCGTGAAACCTTTGTTGCGTTTCAGTACAAATCAGTCATCCCTCAATTTCACGATTAACAACTCAACGTAATTAAGGTTGACTTGGATAGGAAAAAATCGTTTGTTTTCGTGTGATAACTTTGAGGATTTTTTCTATCGGGAGGTCTTAAATTGGCTTAAAAAAATTACGTTAAATCTGTAATTAGTTTTGAGGTTGTCACTTTAAACTTTGACCACTCGAACCCCGCATTTCCGCAAACGAATGAAAAAATCAATTTGAAACTTGAAAGTTCGCGTGTCTTAACAATTTCGTGGTTTTAATTCTCTCCAGCAGATTTTTTCGGTTTCTCTCGAACCTGTGAGAAACTGCCCTTGCGTTGGGTCACAGGCTTCTCTTAAAGCGAGGAAAACAAAATGGGGAAAAGTCGAGTCGAAACTGTTTCCTTTTTTTACTTGAAAATTTAGACAAACTAGACTTTGATATTATCTGAACGTCACTATACCACCTAAATCACGCGAGTTCTACCATAACTAATATTTGGGCCGGAAAAGCAACAGCAGATTCCAACAAACGGTATCTTTCATTTTCGCCACCAACCCCGCGTTGAAACCACCACATTACCACGATACGTATTTTTTTCATTCCATAATTATATGGTCCCTGTTCGTCTGCTTGCATTACGCGAGTTGTGATATGAGCCTGCTCAAGCTATATTCATCTCTTAATAGTGACGTACATTCTTTTAAACTTCAAAATAATTCTTTATGAACATCAGATCAAGTGGTCAGAGTGTTGGAATAGAAATCTTTTCAAAAAAGCAATTAATCGTTTCGCTTGGTAGATTTTTCCGGAAATTTCACGGTTTTGCTGTTAAAGCAAACGGTTTCTACACCACTGTTATGGGAGAGACAGCCAGACTGGAAGTTTTGTGGATGATTTTTGAGCCAATAACAGACTGAAGAATTTCCATGGTAAGTTTTTGAGTAAATATCGAGTAGAAATCCTCTCTCACAGAGATGTCTCGGAGCATTCAGTTTGCACAAGTTCCCTGATAGTTCAGAGATCGTAGCTGCCCTGTACTCTTCTTAAACTCACTTATTTAGCGATATGACTTTGAAGTTAAAGAGGTATTTTTCCGTCGCTAACCGCAAAAACCTTGAGAATGACAACAGTAATGAATAGCCACAAATCATAGTTTTCGCTGTTTTGCCGTCATACAGGGAGAGTTAACTTTGTCGAACGCAGAATGATAATTCTTTTCAAAGACTGTTATTTAAAATGTTTCTTCTTTTCTGTTTAGAAACCAGCACTATGAGAATTGCTGACAACTTCCCACCATCAAAAAGTTCTGTTACGACAGTTGACGCCGAAAACTCGACGTTCCATTTACAATGGGGTAAGCGATAGCGATGTGTGCTTTAACCTCGTAACCAAAAGAAAACTCAAATCAATTATTGCTAAGTTGAGCGTTCGGGAAACAAAGTTAAGTTCGAAACGAGAACGTGATAGTCGAAATGAAAAGAAAAAAACCGAGTATTTTTAGCTTCTGATGGGTGAATTTTGAGAGCTTATTTACGTAAATGGAGTCGGTAGAAATGGCGGGAGTTTGAAGAACAATACTCAACAAAAATCCGGAATTTTTAAGGAAGTACGGATGTCTATAGACGTTCGCAATCTAGCAGCGGAATGAATAAGTTCTATTTCTGTTTTTCGTAAGAAGTTAACACCGATAAATAAAATCAACCAGAATTTAACGAGTTATTTTTATGTCTCACTTGAAAACTTGATCCTAGACCTCGTTAACGTTTCCGTGATTTTTTTGTTTTGTTTCGTTCTCTTACAAGTACTGTCACGATTTAAGTGTTAGAGTCCGAATCTGCAAGAGAACAATCTCTTCTGTATGTTTTTTTTTTGCTTTGATTTTCGTCGGGGAAATGGTCTAGCTAATATCAATGCTCAGAAATGTCCAATATTCCAATACTAAACTTAAAATCACTTATCATCAAAGCGAAAGAAAAAAGACAAATCCCTTACACGACTTAATTTTGTTCTTATATCCGGTGAACAGAGAATAACAGCATTTTATAGCGGGTTCAATTCTTCTGAAGGTGTTAAAAGTACTTCGAACAGTGTTTCCGATATTGATGGAACTGAAAACCTTAATGTGGAAGCATCACGTTTAAAAGATAGCCTAAATTTCATTATTTGAATGACTGAAAGATAGGGGTACATGATAATAAGCGCAGATAATTTCTTTAATGAGAAGCGAAACGGAAAGCGCGGCCTAACATCTTTGCGTCTGACTCCGTATGAGCAGCATTAAGGTGCTGCTCGAGATAAAACAATGGCTTGATAAAATCATTAAGAACATCACAGCTAAACCAATAATCAAACTAATATTTTTCGAAACTATTTTTGGTCTTACATAACCCTTAGTGTCCGTACGGGACTATGCTTGGGAAAAAGTATCTGTCGTTATTTGGGTGACGAAGATATACCCTCTTTTCTCCATCTCTGAAACGAGTAAAAGTCTGAGGACGTCTTGACGCCAGTTGATATTCAACTCTTGTCTAATGGAGCGAAAGAATTTCCTCTGATCTCCTCACTATGTAACGAAAATGTAGAAAAATAAACATTATAATGGAAAACCTTGTAACATTTTTATAGTTTTCCATTCATACAGTTTCCTCATTTTGTCAGTTTAAAAATATATACGTCTGTGTCTTCCTCATTTTTTATGTCACACATCAAGAATTTTGAGAAGACAACAAATTTATGGTACTCTTCTAATTGGTTTTGATATGGCTGGTTGTTTTTTTTTTATTTTTAGTTCGGCATTTCTAGCAGGTTCCTCGAACTCTTAAATGGCCTTTCTGCTTGATTTCATTTTTCATCCAAATGATCGAAATATCGATTCACCTGATGCAATATTGCATCAGCCTGGTATCGTTAAGACCCTCTAATTGTCATTTCTTCCAGTGATTCTTTAGTCATGACGGAGACCTCCCAAGAAAACATCTATCAAACAAAATAAAATCAGTTTACTTGTCCAACATTACGCGAGTGCCTCGAAGTGTTTACCGTCTTAGACGGCGCCAGATCTCCTCTTTAGCTTAACATGTTTAGAAAGCTTTGAGAACAATCTAAATAGGGAAAACTGAGTAATGTTTTGAATGCTCTCTTGTTGTTGGCACGTAAGAGCTTTGCAAAGGAAGCTGATTAATACGGCCATCAAAATCAACGAGACATGGCAAGTGTCCTTTATAACCGGGTTTCCCTAAACTGAGTTACACATGCGCAAAACTAGGTTTCCCCTCTTGATTTCAGTCATCGTCACGCTTTAGTTGTCACAGCTTTCCTGGCCTTGGACAAAATCACAACCATTTGCATCGCTGGGGTTTTATGCTGTAGTCCTGTGTTAAATATCAAATCGTTATAACTTGGATAACTGAGAAGCACTTACTTGAAACTACCAGTACCTGAAAAATACTCTCTTTTGCTGTAAGAAGCATTAATTCTGTTTTTGCAAACATGATTCTTAAATTCTGGTCGCCATTTCAGAGAGGGGTCTACACGGGAGTAGGAGAAACGTTTGCTAAAATGTAGGCAAAACTGCAGGTTAAAAGTAAGATAGTTATCTCACGTTGTTGCTATGCCAGGACGTATCCAAGGAGGCTCGATGTAGTTTCACCATCATTCACGACACTTTTCTTTTTATATTTCATTTTTTACGGAACAATATAACCGTGACTCTTCGGTAAAGTCACCAGAGTAACACTAAATCCTTTCAGAGACGTATCCACTTTTTTATTAGAAACACCTGCATTGTAGGATGATTAAAAAATACCCTGCATCTTAACTGTTTTTTTTTTTTTAACTTGACTTCAAGACAAACTTTTTTTTGCTGATTCGAGAATTTTTTTGAGAACGTTTGATGTTGCTATAGTATATTTCACTTAGAAACGTTTATCACAAATTCTTATGTAATGATAAAGAAAAAAAGGGAAATATAGAATGACTGGGATAGCTCAAATACATAAAAAAAAAATCGGTGTCAGAAGAAATGAAACCCTTTTGAGCAACCTAAATACATTTTGGCAATGCCTCACTCTCCCACTGGATATGATATAAAAATATATATGTGCTTTTAGGGAAAAAGTGTAATTTTGGAGGCCGGATCCGCCTGTCGATTATATTAGTCACGGGTATTAATTAAAGCTGCCGACAAATTTTAATCTTTGTCATATATTTTTTCTTCACAGCTTTCATTGTCGCAGCTGTTTGCGGTGGGTTGCTGTTTAGCATGCTCGTGGTTCTTCTTGTGTGGCGATCGCGTGTCCGGTGTAAAAGTTGCCCTAATGAAAACAACAACCTGCCCGAGAGAACAATATCACGCGTGTCTTTTAAAATCCCACAGCCTAAAATCGAACCGATCCTCATTCCCACGCAGTCACGATATCCACAGAAAGAAAATGACGAGTTTGAACCATTCCTAGATCCTGAGATTTACAGGTAATAATTGCAGACCATTATGAAAAAAAACATTCTCTGTAACAGTCGACGATATTAACTCAAGTGGTTCTCGTGATATCCAGAATTATCAAAGTCTTTAAGGTCAATATCAGCCTGTGTCTCGGACCTATTCATTTGGGCAAAACGTGTCACGTCATTTTGCCAAGTTGTGCACAAGCCGTGTCACGATAAGTTTCCTGTGTAATGTCATATTACAATCAAGTCGCGTGACGCAATGTCACCTGATGCTGTACATTGCCGTGGATTGTGTCCCCTTTGTTGTCATATAATGATCCTTGAACTAAAAATTAGAGGTACTGCCTTTTTAAGATATTTTTATGTGTGTATCGGAAGCACAATTTTAATCAGCGAGATAAAGTGTGGTGTCGTATTGTATCATGGTGTGTCATATCATATCTTATTGAATGGACTGGAGTGTTTTACCGTGAACTAAAACACTTGCAGAATCATTCGACCCCCACATCCGAGAACTGAGCGGCATATTTCTTGTATTTGAAACGAGTGGTCATATCGAGCGACGACGTCACGATTCCCGCCTTTGGGCAGCAGGCATTTAGTTTGTATTAATACCCTGTATTTGTGTTAAAGCCAGCTTTTCAATCTTTACTATGTATATTTATTGTCCATAATAAATAGAAACTGTGATCACTCGTTAGCTCTAGATATGAATTTTATGTTCCCGTGGCTAGAACAATATTTCACCAGGTCGCTGCGCTCACTCGTGAGATATTGTTCTTGCCACTCAAACATTAAATTCATATCTTCTCGTCACCGTGTAATATCCTCTACATTTGTTATCGCATTAGTTATTTCATGGTATCATGTTATTTCTTACATTTCATATCAACCTCCTGTAAGCCTTTCGTTATTGATTTTTCTTGTTTTCAGAGAAGAAGTGACAGGGGAAGGATCGCCATTCCAGGGCTCAGCTAGACTCTCTTTCTCTTTATCTTACGACAAATTCAGCGAGGAGCTCAAAGTCTGTCTCATTCGAGCCACTCGTTTAACACCAATCGGAGAAAACGTCACGGTTACACCATACGTAAAGATATTTCTTCTTCCAGACAAAAAGCGAAAAGCTCAGTCAAGAGTGCTGCGCAGAACATCCAATCCACAGTTCCATGAAGACTTTGTTTTTATGGTTTCACCGGTAGATCTACCAAACAGAACTCTTGAATTTACAGTCTGTGAATTCGATCGATTTTCCCGTCAGCAGGTTATCGGTCACGTGAGATATCCTTTAAGAGATGTGAATGATTTGAACTCAGTACAAGGGACAGGAGAGATCTGGGTTGATATCAACAATGAGGATCTAAAGGTTTGTGAGTGCTGACACCGAACCGACTGAGCTCATAATGCGTCGACTAATTCTAAGTTTCAACATCCTCATCTAAGGTACCACCCCCACCCCCGGGGCATCTGAACTTTTGAAGATTGGTTCATTCATCTTCCCGCCCCTTGGACCCAAATTGTGTTTTTACGCCCCACCCAAGTGCCGGATTTGACGATCAATTTTTTTTTTATAAAGTAAAGATCAGTGAAATAGAATTTATATTCAATTACTTCACCAGCAATTGATTTGACTATGCAAGCTTTAAAGCCTAGACCATATAGACCTTTTCTACTGAGCCATACGCTCGCGAAAGTAAACTATTTATCTTTAAACGCTTCCTTATCAAAATATAAAACACGCATGTTCCGCTGGAAAGACTTGGCACTCCCGGGCAAGGTTGAAATTTCCCAAATGCCAGTGGGGGGATGTCTAAGCTTCAAATTGATTGGCCCATAAATGACGATTTTTCCACCTGTGATGATTATAACAAAGAAGTATCAATTTGGAATTCTGACCGTCTTTGGCAAACGCTTCAGATCTTCCAGTTTTTAGCAAAATAAGAACCATTTTAGTTTGAACAAGTTTTTTTACCTCTGAGAAAAGAAAGAAATACGAATTTTACGATTCATAGTCTAACCTCGCGCCTAGGTCTCGCTCGTGTTTTTGAAATTGCCAAGGGAGATGTGGGTAAGGTACTTGACATTGTTAGCCTTTTACATCCTAACATTAGAATGCATATTCTTCATACTGTTCTCTATACATTTCCTAAGATGTTGACAAGGAGAATTTGTGTCACAATCAAGAGTTTCTTAAATTGGTGATCATTTACTTTAATCCATGACCTAAACATATGATTGAAGGGTTATACTGTAAGGGAAAATCCAGAGCAAGATTCTCTTATGGGTTAAAGGGTTAATACGTTGGTTATCGGTTTCATTTTCAATCATTTCGTGAACAGAGGGTGCAGTGCGCTTCAAACATTTGTTCCTCGACTAATCTGGCATTTCACCCTACGTTAATGAAGAAATTACATCTCGTGAAAGAATAAAAATAAATTGTGCATGCATAGCGCAATGCAGTCATTCAGCGCATTTTTCAGGGAAAGTTATTTTTGAGATAAAAAACCTCTCGGTCAACTATTATCAGTTCCTGACGAATAATAAACACTTCCCATAGATTAAAAACTAGTTTGTTTATGGTGTGAGAATTCATTTGGTACTTTTTGTTTCTCTTACAGAGTGGAATAGATAAAGGAGAACTACTGTTTTCTCTGCAGTATCTACCTACCTCATGTAGACTTACAGTGGCTGTCCTCAAAGCTAAAGAATTAAAATTGAACGGAGAAGACACAGATTTGGGTAAGTTCTGTGACGAAGATCCTAAAATGTGGGAGAAAACCAGCTGGTAATCAAAGCTTTCTTTAATTTCTTCCTCTAATATCTTCACGCATGCATCAAATTTGAGCAAATATATGACTGTAAATAAATGAAAATCATATGTGTGAACTGCGGTTGAAGAAATGAATATGGAAGCGATCCTCGCAGCTATGAGCCATGAACATACGGGATTTGAACCCATGCGATAATGGTGCAGCGCTCTACCAACTAAGCTAGTAAGCCAACTGGGAGCTGGTCGTTATATTGGTTCCAAATAGACCCTAGAGGTGAATAAATGACTGGAAATGTATGAGAATCATATATGCAAACTGCGGTTGAAGAAACGAATGAACACTACTTAAGTAACAACAAAAAAAGGCCTGAAAAAAATTCAGGCTCGTATGGGATTTGCACCTATGACCTTTGCGATACTGATGCATAACTGCGAGGATAGCTTCCATATTCGTTTGACTCTGATGATGACTTCTATCACAAGATGCAACAGAAAAATGTGAAATTACGCTCTTATACACAAAATGGGCAAATATTTTCAAACTCGGATTGGTACCAGTAGCGAAGTTAAGGTGCACCTACCGCTCCCCTAGCCCAATATTAACCCTGAGTTGTTATCAGTTGACTGTTGTTGGCAGAGGGGGAGGGGTAGGTGTGCGGTTTCTCAGATACGGACATTGATCCAAAATTCAATCATGCAACTTTTGATGTCTCTTTGCAAGCCGACAATACAATAGTCTGAGAATATTTGCATTATTTTGTTAACAGTTTTAGAGCTTCATTGTGAATCGTGTGGGAGCTACGTTCGCTCGACTCCTGTCGTTTGGCGTTCGAGCGAACGAAGCTTCAAAACTGTCGGTTGTCTGTGCGAAAAACGGCACTCTGATGAGAAATGATATCAATTTTCAGATCCATATGTCAAAGTGTCCATGATAATGGGAGGAAAACCTTTGAAAAAACGGAAAACAATTGTTAAGAAGAGGACAGTGTTTCCGGTTTACAACGAAGCTTTTGTATTCTCCATTCTCCCGTCTTGCCTCGATCGCGTGAGCTTCATGTTATCAGTTTACACTGTACCGAGGCTTGGAGGATCCAAGAAGCTGATTGGCCGAGCAGTTGTAGGACCATACATGTACTCAACTGGTCAAGGGCTGTCTCACTGGAATGATATGATCGCTTCACCTCGAAACCCCATAGCACAATGGCATACACTCATATGAGATGTTCATAAATGAGTAATTATCATTCTCAGTGTGCAAGCGTGCGCGGATCCAGATTGAACCCAGTGTTCTGCAGTAATCAGGTTTTAGACAGTAAATATATGACAGAAGTAAGGTTTTGATATTTATTGCACAGTAAACTGGAAATAGTGCCTTTTGCTTTCCAATTTCATTAAATGTTTGTAGGTCCTATAGATGAAACTGTTGAGCTTACAGACGAAAGAGCTTGAAATGAATTTGGATAAAAAAAAAATCCAAATTTTTGCTAGAAGGTGGTCTTTTCTTCTTGTTGTACGGGGTTGTTGTTCAAAGTTCAGAAAACGGTATTATGGTCTATTGTTAACTCATTCTTAGGAATTTTTAGTTAGAAAACAGCAAGGAGAAATAAAACATGCAGACACTTAAAAAGATTTAAATATTAAAGACAAAAAACAGGTTTACACTAAATATTTTTAAATAGCAACATCTTGATAGTCTTACTGGGCAGTTTAATTCTAGAGATCTCCTTTGTAAATCTTTGAAATATGTTATACATACCTAGGGTAGTGTGTTTCACAGTGTTTCAGCAATTGGTTTGGTTGTATTTTCTGGAAAATTTTAGTCACTACAATTTCAGATGGCACCTGAAATTGACAGTCAAATTGCTGAAAAAATCATCAAGAGAAACAATTTTATGACTATCAATTGGTTCTCAATTTAGTATGTTGGTTCTTCAGTATATTACGTTTTATTCCTGATGTAAATAAAATAAGCAATATATTCTATATTAATACATTTATATTATTTTACTTGTACTTGAGGGAATGAAATTACCATAAAAAGGAAAATCTCTTTGGTTTTATTTAAAGTCACAAAAAGATCAAACAACAAAAACAATTGAAAGAAAGTTTTAAAGGGTAGTTACAGTAATTTAAAGAACTGGTAAAAGAGGACAGATTGGAAAATATTAGGAGAGTTCAATATCACCCTGCATCAACAACCTAGGAACAAGAATGTAGGAATGTACAGAGTTACAGAAAAAGTACTTAAAAAATTCTAGGAAAAAAATTAAGAAATGATGCTTGTTTTCCCCTTTCTAAACTTGCACATGGTTTATGCACCTAGCTGATCATAACCTTTCTAGGGCAATTTAACCTCTTGACCCCTAACAGTGACTTACATCTAATTTCTCCTTACAATATCACCCCTGAATCAAACATGAGGGTCACAAGAATAAAGGAACAGATCAGCAACCAAAGAAGCTCTTGACTGTTAGACAAATTCTCTTTGTCAGCACCATGGGAAATGTATAGAGAACAGTATGGAGAATATGCATACAGATTTTAGGGTGTAAAAAGGTAAAACAAAGTTCCTTCCAAATGTCTTGTCTTACTAAATGTCTCAACCACTAATACAGTATTTAGTTAATAACCCCCTTCATGCAGCTGATATGGTGGCTGATAACATCCGTGGCTGAGATAGTCTAAAAAAGATAAATATTTGGCCAAGAAGCAAAGTACCACCATTGCCTATAATTCTCACTGTGGATAACTCATGCCAACTAACCCAATATGGTGTAATTTTTTTTCCATTAAAGAAGATATTTTCCTCAGTTTTCACATTGTTTATTAAGGTAATTTAAGAGGCATTCAGGAAAAGCAAAATTCAGGGGAAAAGGAGAATACTTTTTGAAAACAAATATTGAAAAACATGTTGTCAGACATCATTCAGGATACAGTTAGGATTTTGAATGTTGTAACAAAGTTTAAAGTTAACCCCTAAGCTTTCACAATATAATTGCAAAGTTGTTATGGTTTCCACCTTTCCGTAAGACCTTCTTTGGGAATGATTTGACCTTAGCATGGCCAGTTTTTCTGAACATGAAGAAACTCAATTTTCTGCTCTTATGGCGGGCACATGCTTTAAACCCAAGACTTTCCATCATAGATACAAAAAGATCGTCATTTAAGTATCTTGAATTGTTCAAACAAGGAAGAGGGAGAACAATAAACAGATATCCTTGGTCCACTATGAGCTGTTGACATTTTCGAAGCATCTGCCCTCGTCTACGTACGTCACCTTCAAAGTTGATCACCAAACTTAAGACAACAACATCATACAGTTTGTTGCCTTCAAGTTTAAGAAAATCTGCCTTCACAACAGCGTCACTCCGCGGATTTAAATCAATAGATGTACACTGAATCCATTTTTGGTGCTTTCTATAGTTATTGTCAAGAGCACCAACATCAAGTAACCTTATTTTTGCCTCTGTGGCTTTAGTTGTGAGAGAGTTTACTTTACAAACATCAAAATCTCTTATCTGCTTCAGTATCCATTTTGCTGAGTTAAAACTCCCATGACGAGCCTCTCCAAGTTTCGATGCCTTTTGGTAAGCATTTATACCACCAAGCTTTTCTTTCTTCGCTTCGAGATTCGCAATTTGAATTGACCTGTCTTTCATTTGAATTGAGGTATTCCTCCGTAGAGAGTCGATTTTCTTGTTCAAAGCATGGTATTCATTTATAATTCTTCGGTCTTTTCTTGAATTGATCTCCACCACTGGCTTCTTCGGTACCTTCTTCTTTTTCCTAGCTTTTGATTTTTTTACCTTCCTCTCTGTTTCACAGCGTTTGCTTGAGGCAAAAGATACAGCACTAGCAATGTCCGCCATATTTGATGAGAAAGGCCAGGCTACGAAGCAAATCGTGGCCTCACTTTCGTTCTCTTTAATGTCTGCCTGAGCAAAATGGTGAGTTTGAAGCGAAGTGAGGAGAGCAATCCTCTCAATACTAGTGCATCCGTCCATTTCTGAAGTTAAAACGAAATGTAATGAATAAATAAATACTTATATAATAATTACGGAGGTCTTTTCTGAAATTTCTTGCGGGAAAACGTCATTTACAGTGTTGTTGAAGTTCGTTAACATCATTGTGGAAGATGCTGAACACACTAGTAGTGGAGGCCCAGAAGTTGCTCATTTCCTCTCAATGTACAATATGACTCCATGTTTATTCGTATAAGTCTAAGAAAATTTCGAATAAAATGTATCATAGAGGAAAATGCCCTGTTATCTTGAATTAAACCGATGAACAGTTCATGTTTTTGTATGTTATAGAGCGACGGTACAGCAACAATCAGAACGAGAAAGTTCCTTACTAACCGCCTGCTTCAACGGAAGCAAATGGTAATTCATACCCTTAATGTTATATTTTATTGCCTTGTTGTAGCTTTAATGTGGCTCTTTCCTCAGAATCCTTTGATAAGATCCGGGGGAAATATCTCTTCTTCGTGTAAAGGAGGTCTGTTTTGTACCCGACTTTTCTGTGGCTTTTTAGTGTTGTATCAGTGTATTAGTGTGCCAATTTTGTCCTATTCCAATAATAATTGTATGTACGTGGTAGAGCGTAGATGTAGGTAATGTCCTCATAACTCTTCTCTTATTCTATGTTAATGAAAAATTTTTTTGCCAGAATAAGAGCAGAATTTTTGGTTTAAGATCTTTGTTTGACATATCCTATAGGGATATTCCTTGTTCTGTAGTCCCGAGTTATTATCAAAGTTCTGCTTCTAAACTAATAGACTCTATGTTGCTGTACATTTGTAATAACATCAAAAAGAGGTAAGTAAAAAAGTGGTACACAAGACAGAGGGGAGTGTGTCACTGATGTTCTTACCAGATTTTGACATCTTCTGTGATCTAGTTACTTTCTTTCTACATCAAGCTGTTTAAAGCACATGTGTGAACTGATGCAAAACATGCTGATTTGTTCGATTCACAGGTGGTAGATATTCTTCATCCTGGAAGACCAAATGTCTCAAAGGCTGAAGTCCGTGAAAAGTTGGCCAAAGTGTATAAAACCACCCCGGATGTAATTTTCTGTTTTGGTTTTAAAACTGCTTATGGCGGTGGCAGGAGTACTGGTTTTGCTTTGATATACGACTCCCTGGATTTTGCTAAGAAGTTTGAACCAAAGTACCGCCTGACTAGAGTGAGTTAAAGTACATTTACATGAAATTAAGCCCATAATTCATGTCAACTCTAAGAGTAGTTTGTACACTTGTGCAAACATTGTTACTCAGTTAAAGACAGTGTTATATTACTGTCAGACTTAAGATCCAGATTTCCAATTACCTGGTATTGTCTAATTGTTAATAAACAAAGAGGGTAAGTTTCTGAAGAAACTGTGGTGCTACGTCTGTGGGGGAGTATAACAAGATAATGTTGGTTTTATCAACTGAGTTGATAATGTAAATTGCCACTGTAAAGAGTTCCAAAGCTGATGCTTCGAGCATTAGCCCCTCATTGTTTGCTCCGATGGAGAGCTAACGCTTGAAATGTCAGCTTTGAAAATCTTTATGGTGGCCAATTTACATTATCAACTCAGCTGATAAAACCAAAATTATCGAAACTTGTCAGGAAAAAATTGCTGAATGGCAAAAGTACCCTTGGAATATTGTTAAACTCTAACCTCTGAAACTTTGAATCAAAATTTTGATTTGGGCTGTTATGTTTTGCTGACCATTTTAATTTATTTCATCACCTGTCCAGCATGGACTTTATGAAAAGCCAAAGTCATCACGCAAACAGCGAAAGGAAAAGAAGAACAGAATGAAGAAGGTTCGTGGAACAAAGAAGGCTAAAGTTGGTGCTACAGGAAAGAAGGTTAGTCCAGTTGTTTTATTTATTCATTGTCAAATTTTTATTTTGTTTCATTCATGGAGGACTGCATTGGCTCTGCTTAATAATATGCCCTGAGAATGATCTTGAGAATTCACTGTACCCTCTCAACAAATCACCCTTAAAAGGAAAATGGTAAAAAATAAAAGTGATCATGTTTATCTTGGTTCTGTTTTTTGGATGTGAGGATATCTTAGTTCATGAGTAGTGATCAATTGATATAAGGAAGGAAAATGGTTCCTTTACTTGTCATTTTTTTTGTTTCTTAATCAAAATAAAAATAATTACAAGGTTGGATAGCTAATACTTTCATGGGGAAGGATTTTCATGGGATTATTTCATTTCAAACTTAACTGTGTGAGAAAACAATTATACTGTCAGTCATTCATATTTTGTTTCTCTTTTCCTTTTCAGTAAAATGGTCAGCTGTCATTCAACTTCCAATGCTCAGTAGTTGTATCATTAAAATGTAAAGTGATTCAAACTTGACTCTTGTCTTTTGTTACTCAACAAAGTAGCTGACTTTTAAATATACACAAGAGTGACTCATTGCTTGCAAAAAGCAAATCTCTTTTTGGAAAAGGGGGGGGGGGAGGAAAGTGATGGTGAAGGTAATGAGTAAAAAATAGAAAGTTGTCTTTTTATAGATCTAATTGTTTGAAAACTTCTATCTGTTGTCCTTAAAGAACTCTGTAAATGTCCAGTAATTGTTCAATTTACACACTATAGACACAACCAGCATAAGCTAATTTTTAGTCTCTTGCTTAGTGGAAGCAAGAGGAAGGGCTTATGCCTCACTTTCTTCTGCCAGACCTATGTTGTTTTTGCATTGCCTCTTTTTTGTTCACTTCTGCTTATTAAGACCCTGACAAGCTACACCAGCAAACTTATTAGTAGCCATTTAGTCCCAATACTAGTTGTTGATACTGTGTGACCAGAGAATTGTCTTGTCTTCCTGAAATGTTTGAAAGAGGTCAATTTCTAATCTTTCTTGGAAGAGTTAACCCCTGAGAGACTAGTATCTAATTTCTGCTTATAATATAACCCATAATGCACATTAAGTTCATGAGAATAAAAGAAAAGATCATCCTGTTTCCTTATTTGGAATTGGTTAAATCAAATGACCACCACAAACTGTATAATATCAAGCCAAGCTTTAATAATTATTCGATCTAAAAGAAATACATTTATAATTTGCAATCAGAACAAATGCAAATAAAGTCTTAATCTTGTAGCTTAATTAGAGATCTTCAATGTAAACTTACTTCTGTGGTGGGTTGTTACGACAGTCGCACTTTACTCGAAACATAATAATCTAACACTTAAATCAATCCATGGAATTAATGTTAATCATGATTGTTGTCATTAAGTTAATCTATCAACAAGAGGCAAAGCCTATTTGATAAACGAAACACACCCTTGAAAGAGGCTCTTTATTTTTAAACAAATTCTCCTTGTCAGCATCTTAGGAAATGTATGAAGACCAGTATGGAGAATATGCATACTGATGTTAGGGTGTAAAGGGGTCGAGGGAATCTGTTAGAAGAGTAGCTGTTGAAAGAGAGAGACATTCTATTTGTTGGATAATCCATTATCAGATAGTCTTGTGTAGTTTATTTTAATTAGTTTCACTTCTTAAATTAGTTTGCAAACAATACACCATACCTAGTATTCATAGCAATGCAACAGGCTCGTCTGCCTTTTTCTTACCCAGACACTATCAAGGTTTTTCTTGCCCCCTTTTTTGATTACCTTTACTGGCTGGGAGCAAGGTGCAGGCAACCACATGTTCATGTTTCATTTTCCAGTACTAGTATCCAAAGTAAAAGCTCAGAACGACTGAGTCTAGTATGCAAAGTTCATGAACTTTGTTTGAAGCAACTGGTAAATGCTTTGAAAAAAATTGCGGAAGGACAAATGTGTCTTTTTTAGAATAGTTTTTGCACTGAGTCTTGGCATACAGCTAAGAAACACCTGTGGTAGAAACTTAGGAAAGAGAAGTCAAATGTAAGTAATCAAACCTGCAAATTAATGTTTATGCCCATCTCAATTATTACGCTGTGAACTATACCTGTACACTTGCAGTTGAAGCACTTAGTCCACTTTGGTTATTCATTACCAAACATATATTTGGAAATAGTTTAAGTGTAAACTTTGTTCAAGCCTTATACCCTAACCACATCCTTGTGGGACAAACATTCAAGTGGTTAAAAAAATGTCAAAGCCTGGCATCAGAATGTTGTATCTTTTTATTTGTCTTTCTCTTCCTTTCTTTAAAAACTACATTATCAATTAGCAGTGTCATTAGTAGTTACTTGACCAAGCAATATTATGATTCAACTACTTCCCTTTAAGAGGGCTGACTAAGTGTGCAGATAAGTGGATTTGCCTTGGACACCATGGATTGGGAATATGCATGAAATAAAATTTAACAGATTTGCGGGTATTAAAATCACAAAGGATTGCAGAGACTGAAAACTTTTGGCCTAAATTCAAAATTATGATAATATGGGTCCAAGATTAAGTATTAAATTACCACAGATGGTGGATTTACATACTCTTTTCACCCTACTTTAAAGCAGGTCTTAAGCAAACTTGTGTCATTTTTTATTGTTCTGATTCTAAGTATTTCTGTGTATTTTTTTACTTAATACCAATAACAGTAAAAAAGAAAACAACAAAAGCACAACCTCAGCTGCAAAGAGAAGGTACAAATTAAAAAAGGTTAAGGAGAACAATAACTCTGCTACTAAATTTACAAAATTTACTAGATTTCTTAGCTATCATCTACATTACAATATTAAATTATCAAATTTCTTGCAGTATGAGAACAGCAAATACAACAACGAAATATACAGGTTAAAAATGCTGCCTTCCCATGCTATGTGTATGTTTCATGAAGAGGTCTGTCCTCTTCGTGAAATTCTATGATTAATACCAGTTGTAATTTATTCCTAATCATTCATTCCTCAAACATTTTTAAAGATGACTTTTACAGCTCTGCCCAAGATTCTTCATGAAAAACTCCCTTATTTTCTGCCAAGAGTCCTCTTGAGCTTTTGCATGGTCATGTGTATTTCCTCCCCACACAAAGTTTGCCTTAAGACCCTTGTGGTAGGATGCAAAACAATGTGGTGCATATGGAGGTTCAATTAGGTGACCTGTGCCTAGATAACTCAACACAGAACACAAATCACCCTTGCTGCAGGAATTCATCCGTGTACAAATTTCTTGTGCCATTTCAACTGCTGCCAAATCTAGATCATCTTCTCCACAAATGATCAACATGGGACAATCAATTTTCTCCACTGGGATCATGCAGGAAGGTTCAAATTGGTTAAAATCATCAACTGGGATGCAGTCTCGCAAGATTAATGCCCCATCTGAGGTCATAATAGCTTTCGAGCTATCATAGTACATCCCTGATAACTGACCCCTAACCTTAAATGCCGAGGCTGAGATTACTAAAGAAGTAGAAATTGGCACAATTGCTTTCACAATATCTGTTCTGTTTGCAGCCATCATTAAAGTTATTTCTGCTCCTTTTGACACACCCATGACACCAATTCCTTGTTGTACAACAGCAGGATGTTTCACAAGCCAGTCAGCCGCTTCCTCAAAGTATTCCAGTTCACAGAATGGAAGATACTTTGGTAGGTCATCATATGCAAAATATGCCAGTGAGAGGACGGCAAACCCATGTGATGCCAGAAGGGAGGCTTTGAATTCTATCAAGCCTCCTGCTGTTCCAAACATATCAATGACTCCTAATTAACAAAAAACAAAGCAGAGTTAGTGTCTACTCTCCTTGTTCATTTGCGAGTAGCTTAGGATCAGAAAAAATCTGGTTGTTTGAAAAGCTAGCCTACAGTCCCATACAAATGAAAATGGGAATATCCCCTATTCCTTTTAAAATAAAGTGGCTTTGACTTAACCTGTGACCCTAAAATCCCTAAGAGTGACTAGCATCTTATTTCTCCTCACAAAAGCAGCCTTGAATCACACCTTAAGGTCACAAGAATAAGGAAAATCATCACTAACAGAAGAAATCCCTGAATGTTCGACAGATTCACCCTGTTTGCACACTAGCAAATGTATAGAGAACAGTATGGAGAATATGCATACTGATATTGAGGTGTAAAGGATAAACGTGCTAGAATAACAAAGAGTTTATCTTGTACATAGGCACAACCCCAAATTATAGAAAGTATAAGCAAATAAACATTGAGGATTGTGAGGGATGAGTGCATTTACAATGGTTGCAAAGCACTGACTTAACATTTTTCAAAATGTAAAAGCTGTGACAAAACCACTTTTCTTCATCAAAGACACTGACCTGGGAATGTTCCACTTCCTGGAGGTAGGAACAAAGTTCCACGTATCCTCCCTTCTCTTACAGGAATTCTCTTTACTCCTTCAGCCATGTACCACTTCTCCAATGATGAGCTCACAATTGGCTGCAAACTGTTTCTTGCTAAACTATTCACAAATCCATCCTTTGGTGACAGATGTCCATCAAAGCAGTTCAGTTGAATTGAGTAAGGTTTTGTGACATCTTTCTTTGCAAGTCTCAGTCCTTTTCTCTGACCAGGAGCCTGTGTCATGCTCCACAGGAATCCCATTTGTTCAATTCCAACATAGGAACCACCATGTGAAGCATCAGTTGAGTTATCAATTTTTCCTTAGGAATAAAATTAAAGTTGTCCAAGAATTTTTAGACAGATAAGTTCTGATGCAATAGTAGAGCTTCAAGTAAGTCAAGATGCCAGTAAAAATTAGTGCAAAGGAAAAATTAACTGAGTCACATACTGAATACTCTAGATTGGTAATAAACCTTTCATTTTTGTTAAAGTGGCAAACTCACATATTACTAATGTACAATTTTCAGTTGAGTGAGACATGATCTAAGGAAGTTTAGTAACCTTGTTTTAACATCAAAACTGAGTTGTTGTGACAGGTAACTGGCTCTGTTTCCAGTGAAAACGTGTTGTTTGACTTCTTTAAGAGTGCTTTTACATTTGTCAGTTGGTGACTCATGACTCTTCCAGATCAGTTACCACTGGAGACGAGTTTTAAGGTCAAAAGCCCATCACCAAACTTTTTCTGCACCTCACTGTACTGATAATTGTAATGGTACATTGTCTTCAGTTAGTTTACATAAAGCAACAAATTGCATCTTCCACTAGTTTATTAACAGAACAACTAACTTCAGACGTTTGTGCAACACTTGAAAGCCAAACTGAAGGCTAGTGATTTACTCCTCTTTGCAACATCCAGAGAGGGTTTAAGTTGTTGATGCCAAATGGCACTATTCTGAAGCTGTTATTCTTGTAAAACTGAACTTGTTCTCCACATGTCTGGCAAATACCTAGAGCCCCCCCCCTCCTCAGACCTGATGTCCTTCCAAATTTTGTCAATGTACTATAAAAAAAATTGTATCAGCTGCCAAAATTTGAAATTTTTAATGCAAGGAGAATATAATTCTTTTCAAACATTTAAAGTTATAAGAAGGGGATAAGTTTCCAGAGAAACTGTGGTAATGCGCTGGTGTGAAGGACAAGATAATTTGGTTCTATCTTCTCAGATGAAAAATGTAAATTGGCCGCCGTAAAGAGTTTTTAAGCGGACTTTTCGAACGTTCACCCTTCATTACAGCGAATAGATTTGGGTAAAGTTAAGGTTAGGGATTCGCTCTGACGAAGGACTAGCTGAAGTACACTTACAAAATACGATATATTTGTTACGTTTGTCTGTCAACCACTTGAAAAGGAATCTTTCCCACACTTCAAGTGCATATAGCATATTTCTTACCGTCTTTGTCAGCCACATAATGTGCATGAGATTCGAATATTTCATTCGCATCACCCACAACTGAGGCATGTAATGTAAAAGCTTGGCCAGCTTCAAGTCCAGATAAGCATATCTTGACCTTACGGTCCATAAGTGACACACGAGGATTAACGTGGATGTTTGGAGTCACGCCAGGATTCGACATTACCGAAATACAGCGTTGAATTACCTTGCTGCAAGTTTTAAACTTCCTAAAGAAAAGAGAATATCCAACGAGCTGTAAATGACCAGGGGAAGAAATCATCACTTCCCCTTGAATTTCCTAATGATGGTGCTGCGGTCAGCAGGCATAGGATGAATAGGAATATGTTGTTTATGCT